AAGTTATCTCATGACACTTTTCAAATAGAGTAGGTCTAGACCTTACTCCTTATAAAGACCCAACAGTTCCCACCATGACCAATCACTTGGCGACAGCGGTAAAGAAAAACTTCCTTTTAAGAGGCAGAAACTTGGACAGATCCCATATTACTTCTATACTAGTAGTCGGTTAAACTAAATATTATATTTTATTAATGCACAATGCTGGTCAATGGCGTCTTTACACAACCACCCACCACTATAACCGGTGGTACAGGCTCAGCAGACGGCAGCCCATTGTCCTTGTACTAATGCTACTGCTGGTTTTAAGAGGCATCTTTGTCCCACTTCAGAAGTTACAGTCTTAACATTCTGTTACTGTGGTCTGCTTTGGGATTCTAGCAGCCAATTTCACTCTCTACCCATCTAACCTCACAACCAATCAGTTTGAGATGGTACTATTCAGGGGAAAGAGGATGATTGGACTCGTGCTGAAAAGAAAATACCCAAAGTATAGTAAGTTACGATGACATTAAGCGCTGACAAGCTAGCAATCGCATCATAAAACTTCTGTCAGCTTTGCTGTATGACTGCCAAACAATGTTTGGTTAGCTACTTTAGTTCCCTGCTCCCTCAAAGCTGTAATTTTATCCTCTGTAACTTCACATCATCACCGATGCCATGTCATCTACATTTTGTTGTTCACATCAAAAAGTGAATCCAGACAGCAGTGAAAAAGTGTGAAATAAAATTCAAAATGTATCATGTAGCAAGTTATTCCACAACGATCAAGCAGACCTCTCTCTTCGTCCAATAACATGAACAGCATCTTAATTTTCATCCTTATCATTCACACTGTGGTCCGGCAGAACGTTATTGTCCATATGTTGCCCATTTCTGTAGTGTGCCAGTGCGTTTATTGACATTTAAATGCAGACAATGTGACAAACTGCCAGTGCATCAAATGCATGTAACAGGATATATCTAACAGAGTAACTTCTGAAGCCTGGCTGTGTGTGCACTTTGTGTGTTTATGGAGTCTGTGGAGAATTGTGCTCAATTTTGACTGTTTTCTGAGCCATTTCTTACTTTTAGACTAGTCGACTAGTCTAAATTTAAATTTCTATTCAAACAGAATAAACAGCAAACAGCAAAATTAGTCACCAGGAACATCCCTAATTAGCAACAGACAAGACCCTTTCTCATATATCAGTTTAAGGCAGATACATTAACAGTTTACTACTATTGGATTCCTCATTCCGCTCTATCATCAGGTCAAAACTTAATTTTCATTCTCATCAGCCTCAACTGTACTGTTGTGTTTACAAATGTAAGCCTGCTAATATGCTATACTAAAATGGTAAACATGGTATACATATTAGCATGCAATATAACATTTAGCTAAGGAAGGCTAATACTGTAAATATTCTGTGTCAGCAGGGATGAAAATGATTTGTTGTTTGTTTATACATATGGAGTCATATTTAACAATAAGCTTCAGTCATATTTGTGGGTGCACTTTTTCATCATTGTAGCTGCTAAACGTGCCTTTTGGAAACATAAATATCTGATCTATCTGTCTTGGTTATCCTACAAAGATGGAGTTAATGTAAACAAACTTAAATTAGTCATCTTTCATGTACTAACTCACATTTTGTGCCACATAGTGTATTTTGAAGGGCTGGAAAAATGTTTTCCTATCTTGTTCACTTTGAATAAAATTACAAGAACTCAGTAATGTGGGACCTTTAGGAAAGTTTTCATACTATGTCCAAACCGAGTGAATTTCAACTTGACATGGAAGTTCCAGCTACCACTATTTAATTCTGTCTTCTGCCTATGTTATGACCAGAAACCAGTGGATGAGTTGATATGACACCCCATTGGGTAAGTTGATATGCCATTCCATTCTGCTGTAGGGGTGTGCTTGATGTCAGGCTGCGTGAAGGG